TAACCCTTTCGGCAGCCACACGTATACCCAATCCGTACATCCATCGGGAGATGTCTGGAAAGAGACACCTGCCGCGTGTTCCTTTTCCAGAACTTTATCCTCCTTTCGTCACCGCCTAATTAAGATCGCCGATTTGCACGCACGTTTCAACAAAGAGTGCAGCCAAGATGCTCCCTGATTCCTTCGTATTCGATTTGCCAATTTTTTTTTTGCAAAACAAAAGATAATCACAAATAGACTACAAACAATTTCAAATGTCTCCTTTTACCGTTCCAAAAAAAGCGAGCTCAAAAAATTTCAAGTAAGAATGACGCCACCAAAAGAAAATTAAAGAATTTATTATGTAAATAAAGTATCTTTATGCAAAAAGTGTTACTTGCATTGAGAGTCATAGCGCGAAGTTCTCTTTGAGAATATCACAAAATCATGTAGCAATGGCCGTATTTGAGCTGTCAGATGATGCACGTAACATAAAATGACAAAACAGACGATTGTACAAACACCAGTTTTGCGATAGTACTCGACAATTGTTTCTCGAGAGGGAATGGAAAGTTTTATTGAAGTGGAGCCTGGTGGAAAAAAAGGAATATTGAGGCAATCAATGTCATTCTGCCGGATACTGACCAAGAAAATTCATTGTCGATTCTTGGGAGTGGTAAAAAGTAATTTGATAAAAGTGGTAATTTGATACATTTGAAAACTCTCTTATATACTCGTAATTTACTCGTGATTATCTTTGGTTCTATAACAAAGTTAATTGCACTGAAAAAGAAATATCTAAAAATGAACAAATATTTATTAGATATTAATATATGTACTTAAATAAAAGTTTTTTTCACTCGCTTTAAGTAAACAATATTCGGGTTAAATGAAGAGATTTTTTATTTAAGTAAATATTTTAACGGTACCTATCTAGTATATAAATATTTGTTATCTTTTTAATATTGTTTTTTCAGTGTGGGGAAATAGAACACAAAGAAATTAGGAAGCATCGCCTGTGGCTGTTCGATCGCACTCTTTATCTCTTTTCAGATAAGAGACAGGTATAGGATGAGTCAATTGCTATCTGGAATACCTTCGAGACAAAAAACAAAGGCCTTGAAATGTTCAAAGCTATTCCTCCCGAAAGAAAAGCATAAGGAGATTTTTCCTGAGCAGAATAGCTTCGAAAATCTGAAGGTCGCCTTTCTCAATTCAAAGTGGCAATAGTTACCGACTCACTTTATGGTTTATTTTTAATTCACTTGTAGGGAGGAAAACGTGGGACACGCGCGCGTTTCTCCAACCCTTGTGACTCACCCTGATCATTTTGTCATCGTAACTATTAATGAATATCTCAAATCGCAGAGTGTCGGCAGATTGTGTGTGTATTTTGAAATATTTCAGACTGCTGTCGAAAGGCACTTTCGAACATATACATGCCATCCTCATGTTGACGCTTTCACTAGCAAACGGATAATACCCTTCGTCCCTCCGTCGTTCCCCCGCGTGTCCTCTTATCGAGGGTTGTCGCAAAGTGAAAGTACCGGAAACCCGTTAAATCGCAATTTCGGAAGCGAGGAGAAAGATCGTCGGGGAAGGCTACACCGACTATTGCAGGCTTCTCACCTCGCGCCGCTTCCGTCGGCATTCACCGCCGATTTTTCGGAGCGGCGACGAAGTCACGGCCACATTCTGCGTAATAATACGGTCGATTTATCACGGGACGACGGTTCGACTGTGTTTTAAAAGGAACATCTTGTACGCGCGAATGCAAAATTGAATGGAGCGGCGCGTGCTGTTTAAAGGGAGATAAATCAAGCGTACGACTTCGCACACGCACGCACACACACACCCACACGGCACGACAATACGTCATCCTGCTCGCCGCAGGAGTCAGCGCGAGGACTCCATCGTTCGCGCTACAATAAAAGTGTTTAAGATCCGAGGATTTCCGTGGCGCGCCGCGCGCGAAGGGGAAAAATTATGGCCCGCGGTCTCTGACTATCTCTCTCTCTCTCTTTCCCCTCCCCCTCCTTCACTTCACCCTTTTACTCTGCCTTCTTCTTCTCTTCGCGAAAAACGTGGGAAAAGTCGCAACATCTTTCGCGAGGAGAGGCGCGCGCGCGCGAAAGAGAGAGAGCAGAAAAATACACCGTAAATATTGCCACGGTTATGATATAAATATAGACGGTGTCGTAATACAAATATTGTTACAGCGAGCGCGAGTTTTTTTCTCTCTATTTTTTTTTTTTTTTTTTTTTTTTAATATTTTCCCGTCGCTCGATTTTCCGCGGTGCGAGGTGAATTTAATTCATTCGTTATAAAGTGCCAATATTGGAACATCCGACGTTATCCACGTTGCTCCTTCTGTCCCGCGGTATTTTACGCATTTTAATGTCGTTTTCAGTAAAGAACGCTTGTTGCCGCCTCTTAATGAAGCGCGGTGGACAAAAATTGATTGTGCCTCACATTTTTCCTCAACAAGTTGGGAGATCCGGTAGGGCCAGCGTAATGTGAACATCGTAATGAGATAAACAATGGAATTGTGCACCGCGACGAGTGCGCAGGGATGCATTTCCTGTGTCGATTGCGCGTTTCCGTTTCTATTTCTCTTTCTGACGTGAGATAAAAGTACCAATGCTCGGACACATGTATCTAACCCTGGACATTCTCATTGCTCTTTGGTCTTGAAACGCTCTTTAAATACGAATTCATTTAAGTACGATTCAAACTTTCGAAACATAGGATGTATGTGTATGTCTGATTTCGACTTCGGACACGATCCATTATCGCGACATTCTCACGGGAAACGTCGACGGACTCGCGAAGTGAACTCACGGGGCGATCTTAACTTTTTTTACACGAGTTAAAAGGAGCAAGTGTTTTCGCCGCGTGTTCTCTTCCGCGCGACGGAACCGCAAAAACCGGAAGCCGAGAGACTCGGAACGTGGAAAAGGGCAAACGAGTTTCCGTCGGGGTTCGCTCTCACCTCGGGATACACCTCGAGCTGCGAGCTATCACTGCGGCTCGTCGCTCCACTTTCTATCGGGGCGTCGTTTACGCGCGAACGTTACAAGCTTCGCCAGGACGATGACGTTAGTCAATCGTCGGGATTCGACATAACACGTGGCTTTCTCTATTCGTTTCGATGCGCCTTCATACACTGAGAACAAAATATTTGAAAGTTAACAAATATTTATCAGGTGGGTATCATTAACATATTCACTTAAATAAAAATTCTCTTCATTTAAACTGAGTATTTAAACCGGTTTATTTAAACCGAGCAAACAATACTCAGTTTAAGTGAAAAAGAATTTTGATTTAAGTATGTTAATGGTGTCCACATATTTGTTAATTTTTAGATATTTTTACATATATATATATTTTTTTTATAGTGGATAAGTACAAAATATAATTCAATGTAAAGTCCCCTTCTTGGCTATTTTGTAGCTGAACGGTAATAAAATACTACTACATATTTTTTTTACATTTATATATTTATATATTTATATATTTTTATATTTATATATTTTTATATTTTTTTCTCAGTGTATTTTGCGCAGAAAATGTCACGGTGAATGCACGAACGACACGTGTAGAGATTGAGAGATGATATTACGCGAGGGTGGAGATCATTATTAGGATCCCTCCACGTCGACAAGGTTAATAACAATCGTATCATCGATGCTAATCATAGCACGATAGCGTCTCAAAGAGGGACATAAGCGGGCGCGTCGATGCACCACGTGTATCATCGATAAAACTACCAACGCCTGAGCAACGTATGCAAAGAGAATTTTACAATAACTAGGTTCATCGAATTTTGCAGTCGAGGAACACTAATGGACATTTTTTGGTAATTGATTATCCTTCCATAGTAACTGTTCATATCACTGTGCCTTTGTATTTAAAGCCATAGAAAGTATCTTTACGGTTTATCTAAATAAAAAAAGTATCTTTTATTAAGTTTAATACTTTAACTTAATTTTTAAAAATACTCTTTCTATTTATTTGTGCTAGTTTTCTTTTTGTGACTTATATTTAAATAGAAAGACACACACTAATAAAAATACTAATAGAAATAAGCACAGTGATACGGACAATTACACTATGTGGTGCTTACATTCTGGGAACTGGAATGTGCTATTAAAAACTTTGCTACATTTCTCGCGAGATTTACTGTATTCCTTAGTAAAATATTTGAAAGTTTATTCCTGTATTACTAATAGCATAGTAAAATTGAAAAGAATTTACATGAAAGAAAAGGAAGTATTCTTTCTATGTATACTTAACCTTGGATATTTCTATTACAAGGGGAAATTTTACTGAAAACCCATAGCTCACGTTACTGTGGACTTCTAGAGAAGTTTCCCTCGAGAAGAATGTTTTGGAATGCAACTTTGTGATCTTTGGATACAAGTATTTAAACTTCCAACATGGAGTAAACTCGGGCATGATGATCATATGAAAAAGATGGCACGAGTTCTAATTTCTACAATAATTGCTGAAATAGTGCGCTTTTGTGATCATTTTCAAAGATAATCGATACTTATAGTAGTTTATATGCGAGCACTCAGATACTGAAACATGTATTACTATTTATTAGAGAAAGTACAGCTTGTGGCCATCTTTCTCGTGCGGTTATCGTACCCGAGTTTACCCTACATAAACACTTAATATTTATACATATATTTCACGTTTTGAAAGTTTAAATATTCGTATTTAAAGACCGAAACAATAAGAATGCCCAGAACTAGGTTGAACAGGTGTTCAAGGATTGGTATCCTGAGCTTACTAGTCGTAACGAGGCTTGTTACAAAAATTTCGCCACGTGTTCTCCCCCCTTTCATTCATTGTCGATGTACGAGATCGCGGCGGGTCGAGCTTCACCGATAGTACCAAGAAACAGAAGCCGACCACGCGTCATCCACGCGACCGCTCGTGTCGGGACGAGGCTCAATAAGCCGTCGAAGATCAGCGCGAGGAATGAGAAGTCGATTGTAGTAAATCTCACTTACCAAACGACGCCGAAGGCCCCGTAGCCGATGGGTCTGTCTTGGACGGGATCCTGGGCGGGTGGTGGCGGCGGGGGCGCGGGTGCCGCGGTGTGATAATAAGTGGGGGGCGCCGCCTGGGCCGCGGCAGCGGCGGCGGCGGCCGCCGCGAGGACCGCTTGACCCGGATGGGCCCCGGCCGCGGTGCCGCCGCCACCGGCGGCGCCGGTCGCCCCCGCCCCGCCGCCCTGCATCAGCGGTATCGACACGCTCATTGACACCCGCGAGTGCCGGCTGGGCCCGACCACTGCCATCAAAGCAGGCCCGCGCGCTCTTCACGGGACGGCGGCGCGCCCCCTCGCCCTCCGGATGACACGGCGAGCCACCGTTATTACGTTTCGTCGAGGGCGCGTTTCTTGGTCCCTGGCGGGCCCCGACTCGCGGACCGATCGACGGAACGATCGACCGATATCGAGAGTAGTGGCGACTCACGCGGCGAGCATGGCGCTACCTCGCCGTGGGATTTCCTCTTCTTCTGATTTTTTTTGTTCTTCTATCTCTCTGCCGCTCTCTCTCCCTCTTTTTCTCTCTTTCTCGCTCGACTAGTTGCGGGAATAACGCGCACGCTGCAGGATCGCGTTTTGTCCTTCGCGATTCGAACTGCCCGCGCGGGATCTTACCCTCTGACGTGGTTTAGCGGCGGGAGGGAGGAGCGCGAAGTAGCGCGCGCGGACGACGTGTTGTATGTCGCGCAGCTCCGCGATCAGCGACGACGTGTGTGTATCCTTCTCTTGCTCGATCACGCACTGCTCGCGACCGACGGTATACCGTTTCCCTGATCCTCGCTCCCGTTGTCGAGCGTCGATCCTACGAGGCGACCTGTGTCCGCGTTTCCGTTACTACGCGCCGCGTTCCTTCTCTCAATCCTTTCTCGCATCCGCGACACACGAGCACGACAGCGAACGTTCCGCAGGTTATGTTTGACGTTCACGCACGCACACTGCCGCCGCGTTACTGCTCGAATCACGGCTCTGCGCTCCAACCTCTTTCTTTTTCTCACGCTTTTACTCCTCCTTCTCTCTCCTCCGCCGTCGTCGTCGCCGCCGCCGCCGTCGCCGCCGTCTGTCAATCGCACTCGGGTCTCGTAACAGCGTCGTCGTCGTCGTCGTCGTCGTTGTTGTCGTCGTCGTCTTCTTTTTCGTCGGGATTATTGCCCCAGGGGTGCGCGGGGCCGAAAGGATGACTCGGTGGAAGAGCGGGAGACGACGCTTCTTGCTCCTAGGAGACGCGTGACGGAGAAAGAAGACGAAAGGCGCGAGGGCAACGAGTCGAGGAGACGCGAACTACCGTGGCCGCGACTACTTCGTCGTGGGAACATACACCACGACCACTCGACGAGTCCAACGTCGCCGTCGTCGTCGTCGTCGTCGTCGTCGTCGTCGTCGTCGTCGTCGTCGTCGCCGTCGTCGTCGCGTCTTGTGTACCCGTGCACGGACGAACGATACTCTTCTTGGACGTCGCGCGTCGCGCGCACGCACGCACGCACGCACGCACGCACGAACCCCCCCTTGCGAACCCGCGGCCCACCACTGCCACTGTGTTGTGTAGTATCACCTCCTCGCGGAGGGCAAGCCGTCGCACACGCGGTGGACAGACGAGCACCAAGCACCAAGCACACGCGATGCGGAGCTTCGCGACGCGGACGACACGCGCGACACACGCCGCGAAACGAAGGAGAGACCAGCGAAACGGAACAGAAAGAGAGAGAGGCACAGACAGTTAGAGGGGAAAGGGGGAGAAAAGGTGAGAGTCTCTCGCGTAGAGCCACGACGGGAAATCCAGCCGCGCTCCACCGACGAAGCACACATCCACTTGCTGCCAAGGCTTGTTGGCCACTGACAGCGGAAAACGGTCTGCCGCCCGCGTCCCGCAATGGTCGCCGCACAAAGGCGGTCACGTGACCGGCGCGCCAGCCATCGCGCAGCCGGCGAGACCGGAAGCCGCCCCCGCGACGGCCGCGCGCGCTCTTTCAACCTGCGGACGAGTGCGAGTGGCTTCCACTCGCTCTTTCGCCCGTAACATTCCGGTTTGTAATCATCTGCGCGCTTTTGATTTTCGCGCGAGTCACCAAGAGGTGACGCCAGGGCTCGTCGATTTCGATGAATACGCGAAAAATGGCATTTTCCGTACGCGAGGAAATAATTGCCTTTACCTTGCAAGCATTATTTAGATATAGTCTCTTATTTTGTAAGCTTTCTTTCGTCGACAAAGGCTGATTTTTGCAATAGTAGTTTAAACTTAGATCCACAAACTCAAGTTACAAGTTACATTTCGAGATACTTTTCGAACAGAAGAAAGTCCGGAATAAGATCGACAGAAAAGAGTTCGGAATAAAAGCCTTTTCCTTGTTGCGGTATTTCTAATTTTTTTCTATTATCTCGTTGAACTTTTATTTCCCTCTCTCTTAGCGAAGGGACCCGATCGGATATGACGAATTGCTTCAGCACGAAATCGGGAATAAGGATCAGCAAGGAAACAAATGCAACACGGAAGTTTTATGACTTATGTATATATATTTACACGCGATTTGTGACGAATTCTCATCGTCGTATGAAATTAGCGTATTTCTCTCTTTCTCTCTTGTATATTCCTCTCCTTACACAGTTGCGATTGCGATCGCGTATGCGCAGGTACACGCTTAACACGCACGCTCACGTAGGAAAATATGCGGAAGATTACATCTCGAATCGTCGACGCCGCAGTAATCCCTTTATCTTTGGTCTCCACGTCGAATCTCCTCTCTGTTAATTATTCCTCGCATTCACCGCGAAGTCTGTGCACTAACGCCGTTCCGAAAGCAAGAGGGAATAATAGTATTTAACGTAGACTTCGTCTCCCCCCTCACACAGGATAACGTAGTCCTTGTGCCCTCTCGGTTTCCTCTCTCTCTCTCTCTCTCTGAAAGCTTAATTTGCAATGCTCTTCGCTTCCTTTCTTGTTTCTTGTTCTCTGCCTTTTTCCAGCTTAAGCTTCAAGATTTGAGGCGGAAAGAGATGAAGAGAAAGAAACAGGAAACAAAGAGCACATTGTAGATCAAGCTTAACTCTCATAAACGCACGCGAATTCGCGACACGATCGAATCTCGATGCGACTCTCGTCGACTTCACATCGTGCACGGAGAGTATTTTATAGCAAGTATTACTACAGGATCTTGTGTAACCGAGGAATACAGAATCGACACTCTGCAGTCAGTTCAATCACTATCCTTTCATTCCATATGTGCTACTTATATATTTTAGGAACTGAAATATACCATCAAGATACTTGCTACATTCTAACGAAATTTATTGCTGAGAAATATAGTTCCTCAGCAAAATAGACTTTACTGGCAGTCTACTCCTGAATTGCTAAAAAACACAGCAAAATTGAAGGTTTGTGTAAAAGAAAACTATAATATTCTCTCCGTGTGAGGAAATTTGAGATCTTCGAGTCTCTTCCTCCTCCTCCTCCTTTCTCTCTCACTCTCTCTCTCTCTCTCTCTGTCGAACCGCGGGATTGCCCGTCCGCGAGCGCCCATAGAAATCACATTCTTAAATCGTGCCGATTAATTCGTCGATTCGACACATCGCCAAAAGTCCGTAGAAAAATCCTGAGAAAATAGCAGTCGCTCGAAAATAGAGCGCAACCCCTACTACACAGTTAATGTTGTTATTGCTGCTGCTGACGTTCTCTGCCGCTTCTCTTGCTTCAACGAGAGAAGCTCTTAGAAATTCGCACGTGTTTTTGATTGCTCGCGAACACTCGTTTCGCACGTGCAGTGTCACTTCGGAGAGCATCCCTCAGTCCTTGGGGGGATACTCCCCCGCCCAACGACTCTATTCACTAATAAGCGCACGATTATCATCAGCGGTATTAAGCTCATGAGGTACAGTGTATTTTACATCGTTCGCATGTGGATGTGTTAGAACTTATTTATATTCAGGTTTCACCCTAAAATATTTAGCTCTCGTCGTACGAAGAAATTCATTTAAATATATATGTACGTGCGTACATACCTAATAATTATCCCTCTTTCTGCTTCTCTCTCTCTCTCTCTCTCTCTCTCTCTCTCTCTCTCTCT